GCTCCGCCGCCGCTCCACCGCTCCGGCCACCCGGCGTCCCCGGCCAGCTCCGCGCGCCCGCACCGACTACCGCTGCCGCCGCTACCGCCAAAGAAGCAGCTCCGCGCACGGTTTAATCGCTCCACAGGCTCGGACACAAAATGGCGGCGGCGCGATGCAGTGCGCCTGCGTCGGCGCTGCCGGGGCCGCGGCTGCTGATAAGGGAAGGGACGGGTGGGGGGGGCGGCCGGGCGGCGAGTAAGGGCGGGGGAGGAAAGGTGAGGGGAGGGGTTGGCGCAGGGCAGCATGGGAGGCTGCCCCAGGCGCCAACTTTCAAAAGCGGGCGCGATGGCGTCACGGGACGCGCCGCGAGTCGCGTAGTCACGCCGCACACGCCCTCCCCAGTCGCGCGTGGGCTCTGCCGGCGCCGTGGCGTCCGGGCTTCCTCTGGGTGGGGCTTTCTGGGCGGAGGCTGCCACAGAAAGGGCGGTCCCGGATTCTGTCCTCGACCCGGTTCTCCAGGACCTCACTCAAGCCAACTAAACCTGTAGAGTCGGGGGAATAGGGGCGGCTAGAGGAAGTCGCGCGGGGCTCGGCGTGGAGCTGAGGCGGCTCCTGGGCCTGGCCCCGCCCATTCTCCGCCCCAGCTGGGCCTGACCCGCCCTCCGAACTCGGCCGGCAGAATAAGGCTGGGCGAGTTCCCGCGTCCTCTGAGTTCTCTACACACAGTGGCGCGAAAGACCTGTGGCGAGAAGAGCTGTCCTTGTCTAATGATTTTCGATCCCTAGAAGAGGGCTTCCTAAAAACTAGGTGAGAGAGAAGAGGACGAGGACCTTCTCTGTGTCTCCAGGTCGCCTGAGCCCTGAGAGGCAGAGGAAGACAAAACTTCACTCTTCTGCGCGATCATGGGAGTCATCTTTTGCAGAAAATATATTCTGTATTGGGCGCGGCGTAATTCTGTAAAACGTGCTTTTCTCGTTTTTGCCCGAAAGCTGTTAAATTCTCCATGGGTGGAGTCCTTCAAGCCCCTCCTCCTCTCTAGGAGGTGTCTGAGGATCCTGCCCTACCCGCGGTAAAATTAGATGAAGTTGATTGCAAAATGTTGGTGGCTTCGAGAGGAGAATCTTCTGGTACTTGTGGGAATATGGCTGAAAACTTATTCCCAACTCCCTTGTTTTAAATATCGCGGATAACAAATGCACCCAGCGTCAAGGAAGTGGCTTCTGTTCTATTCAGACGATTTCTCTGTTATGAAAATTCTGGCCAATGTTGACAGTCACAGCGCCCCCCCGCCCCAGGCATCAGAAATCTGGATTTTAAAAAATGTAAAACCTCCAGATTTTTAGATGTTGAATCACTCACGCACGCACGCACGCACACACGCACGCGCGCGCGCGCTGTGCTGAGGGGATTGAACCTTATGGCCTTGCACACTAGGCAAGCGCTTTACTATTGAGCCACATCCCAAGCCCTAAATCAGATGTTTTTAAACTTCATAAGCTGATTCAACTGCAAGTGTGGGCTGTCAGTTTATTACCCTTGACTTGGAGGAAGAAAAGAGAGATTCCAAGACCAAGTCTTGGGGTACTACAGCGTTAAGGAAGCTGAGAGAGAGTAGCCAGGAGGACAGAAGGAAATATAAATTGTTGAGTTGTGGAATCCAAAGGCAAAGAAGGTTTCAACTAGGAGAAAAGACATCAGCTGTCCTGTGCTTCTGAGAGTTCTGGTAAACTTGGGCCAGAGGCATGACTATTGAATTGGTTACTTGGAGAATGTCATGACCTTAGACCTATTCATGTGAGTCGGTTAGGAATGTTGACTAGAATGGGTTGAAAAGTGAACAGGGAAGTGAGGGAATAGATATAGCAGAAGTAGGCAACTTGAGGAAAGTTTTGCTGTGAAGGATGCAGAGAAATGTGAGGATAGGGGGCTGGGGATTTAGCTCAGCGGCAAAATGCGCCTGCCTGGCAAGCGCAAGGTCGTGAGTTCGGTTCCCGGTACCGGAGAAAAACCAAAAAAAAAAAAAAAGAAATGTGAGGATACATGTTGAAGGGTGTGAGGTCAAGGGAGGAGAGTTTTGATTTTTATAGTGCCAGGGATGGAACCCAAGACCTTGCACATGCTAGGAAAGAACTACCACCGAGCTACATCCCCAGCCTAGGGAAGGTGTTTCCAAAATGGTTGGGTTCATGAGCATGTTTATGTGCCTTTAGGAGTAATACAGGAGGGATGAAGGGTGGGTGATACAGGAGAGAGAAACACTGCTTGACCCACAGAGGAGTGAAATCCATGGGAGGATCTAAGGAAACAGGAGGGATTGACCTTAGGTAGAAACAAGGACGTTTCCACTGATAGTAGGGGTAATAAAAGTGAAGATGAAAGTAAATGCAGAGAAGGGAGAAAGGAAGTCCTTACTAAGACTGCCTTGATAGGATTGGGTGCATTTAGGTTTTGTTGTCACGAGTTTAAAGTTAAACCAGATGGCCCAGTATATGGTTTTTCTCCAGCAACATTCAGCTGCTTAGGTACAGACAAAGAATAGCTTGGTTTCTCAACACCAGGATCCAAGTTTTCTTACTCCTAGCCTTAGATTAGCTTTTATATATATATATTTTTTTATTTTTTTGGTACTGGGAGTTGAACTCAGGACCTTGTGCTTGCCAGGCAGGGGCTTGTGCCACTGAGCTATATCCCTGGCCCTAGATTAGCTATTTTTCTAGAAATGTGTGTATTTGAAAAATTTACATATGACTCTTCTTTCTAGAAGCCAAATTATCCCATCTCTTATGTACATATTAGGACTCAGTCATAAAGAAAAGGCAGATTTAGAGAGGAAAATTACTAAATAGATAATTCTGGGATATTTATTTTATGTTTTCTTTGCTGAGAAGACTAGTGCCTGGTGCATTTTGAAACTTAGATACTAGAAACAATAATGCTGACTTGCGTTTAAGCCCTTAGCTTCTGGGCTGTGGACATAGCTCAGAGGTGGAGTCCTTGCCTAGTTTGCACAAAGCTCTCAAGTTCAATCCCTAGCACCACAAATAAAATTAAATAAATCCTTGGCTTTATTTTATTAATCCTTTTTCTTTCTTTTACCTTTCTCTAGGATTTTACCTCATTATTTTAAGAGTATGCTGCAAGAGGCAGGTGTGCTGGTGCATGCCTTTAATCCCAGCACTCAGGAGGCTTAGGCAGGAGAATCACTGAGGACCAGCCTGAGCTACATAGTGAGTTCAAGGCAAGCCTGAGCTACATAGCGAGACCTTGTCTCAAAAAACAACAGGAAAGTAAGCTGCTGGCCGGGCGTGGTGGCGCACACCTGTAATCCCAGCACTCAGGAGGCTGAGGCAGGGGGATTGTTGCGAGTTCAAGACCAGCCTGGGCTACAAAGTGAGCTCAAGGCCAGCCTGAACTGTACTGCGTAGGGAGACCCTGTCTCAAAAAAACCAAAAAAGGGGGTTGAGGATTTATTTAGCTCAGCGGCACAGCGCCTGCCTGGCAAGTGCAAGGTCATGAGTTTGATTCCTGGTACCAGGGGGGAAAAAAAAAAAAAAAAGAAAGAAAAAAAATAAGCTGCAAGAATATCTTCTAAGGCTTTAATGGGAGCACATACATGATAGTATATTTGGAGAGTAAAACATCTCAACTATTTTTTTACAACCATATATTACATTAACTATTTACAACTATATGACCTCAGAGGAATCAGTTAGCAATCGGTAATAGGGCTACTGTGTTTGCTCTTGCACGGTGGCCTACCTTCATACTGTAGGGTGTACTTCTTTTCTTTGCCTACTTTTAACTTGCCCCAAACTCGCTCTGCAGAGCCTGTTTTCCTACCTTTAATAAAAATTTGCTACCATTTAAATAAAGGAAATCAATAATGGGGTCCAAAAAAAAAATGGGAGTCCAATTGCTTGGTGCCTGTGTTTTGAAGACAGGGATCCTATGTCCTGCTCTGAGAGAAGGCTAAGAAAATGCTGAACATCATAGGGAGGAGCCAGTTGTGGTGGCACACTCCTATTATCCCAGCAGTCTGGGAGGCTGAAGCAAGAGGATTATAAATCAAGCCCACCCTAGGCAATTTAGTGAGACTTTGTCTCAAAAACTAACAAGGGTCTGAAGATATACCTCAGTGCAAAAGCCCTGATTCAATCCCCAGTACTGAAAAAAATATATATTAGAAGGAACAAGTGAACATTTTCTTTTCATTATAGGAAATCCTGATGTGTCCTGGTTTGTGGAATCAACTCCCAAGACCAAGAAATGGAAAAGCCAAGCCAAAAGGATAGGATATTTCAGGCTGGAAAGAAATATGCTGAAGCTGGATGTGGTGGCTTACCCCTGTAATACCAACATTTTGGGAGGATAAGGCAAGGGGATAGCAAATTCAAGCCTAGTCTAGGTAACTTAGTGATTTAGCAAGACTTTGTCTTTAAGAAAAAGAAAAAAAGAGCTGGGGATGTAAATTAGTGTGAAGGCCCTGGATTGTGTGGCACACACCTGTAAATCCAGCATTCGGGGGCAAAGCAGGAATATCACTTCAAATTCACAGTCAGTCTGGGCTACATAGTGAGTTCAAAGCCAGCTTGAACTACATAGGGGGACCTTGTCTCAAAAAAAAAAAAAAAAATTTTTTTTTAAAGAGGAGAAAATAGCCGGCCGTGGTGGCGCACACCTATAATCCCAGCACTCGGGAGGCTGAGGCAGGAAGATCGTTGTGAGTTCCAGACCAGCCTGGGCTACAAAGTGAGCTCAAGGCCAACCTGAACTGCATAGCGAGACCCTGTCTCAAAAAGACAGAAAGAAATAAAATAAAATAAAAGAGGAGAAAATATAAGTGGAGCTCCTGGCATAGTTCTAACTAGTAGTACTCATTCAATAAGTGTAAACTTGTTAATCTTTCATTATATATTTCTGGTTACCTACCCTTATTCCTAACTCCACCTTCTGATTGATTTAATCTTTCTAGATTTAACAGAATCAGTTGTTTCTGACCAAGTGTTCCCTGGCTGTGGAGTTATTCTTTTGGGAAACACATACTTTGTGCTGTGATTCTCAGAACAGTTCTATTTCCAAGGTCTTCCTAGGCTCCCTTTCTGTCCCATATGAAGTTTGCAGTAACTGTGATCATCTGCATGTTTTTAAAAAAAATCCTTTAGCCAGGCGTGGTGGCGCATGCCTGTAATCCCAGCCCTCGGGAAGCTGAGGCAGGAGGATCATTGCAAGTTCGAGACCCAGCCTGGGCTACGAAGTGAGCTCAAGACCAGCCTGAACTGCAGAGTGAGACCCTGTCTCAAAAAAAAAAAATTTTTTTTTAAATCTTTTAAGCCAGAGAATCTGTGGATGTATTGATTTTCTAGGTAACAATGGGCAAGAATCTCCACTCTAATATAAAGCCTAAAGTTACATACGAACCCTTCTGTTGTCTCAGTGCCTATTGAAGACATGTGACAAGTAATCCAGTTAAGCAAATTTTTTTTTTTTTTTTTTTTCATTATTGGGTATGGAACCCTGTGCCTCATGCATGCTACAAAAGCACTCTTCCTCTCTGTTATATCCCCAGCTCTTGTTCAGCAAACATTTATTGAGCACCTGTTGTATGTACCAGCCTGTTTTAGTTGCTGGAGATTCAGAGATGATTTAAATAAGCCAGGTGTGGTGATGCACACTTGTAATCCCAGCACTCAGGAGGCTGGAGCCAGGAGGATTGCCTTGAGTTCAAGGCCAGCCTGAGCTAGATACTGAGTTCAAGGCCAACCTGAACTACATAGCAAGACTTAAAAGGAAGGAAAAAAAAAAAAAAAGAAATAAGTGAAATGACTTGCTCAGGTCTCCCTCAACTCCTTGGCAAAACCAGAATGAGTACATGAGTACTCAGGTCTTTCAACCCTCCCCCACCTCTTGAGTGCTGAGATTATAGGTCTCTACTACCGCATCTGGTTCAGCATTTCTCTATAGTGATCCTCGGGAGCTGATGCTTCAGTTTTGAGGCTGCATTGGAAGGGGAAAGGAGGTCTGTCAGGTGTGCTCTGGGCTTCCCTTCTCCCTGACAGCTCCAGTTTTTTGTTTGTTGGCTTGTTTTTAAATAGCATCTCAATAAGTCCTTAAATTGCCCAGAATGGGTTGAAACATTTGATCCTCCTGCCCCAGCCTCCCAGAGTGCTAGGATTACAAGTATGTGTCACCACACTTCTTTTTTTAATGCTTGGTGGGGATTGAACCCAGAGTGCCTTGTACATGCCAAGCACATGTTTTACCACTGACATCGAGCCCCTCACTTCTCCAGATTTTCTGTGATCTTTTTAAAAGAAAAAAGGATTTTTGCCCCTAAATCAAGTTGGACAATACTGCTTCAACCCAAAGGAAGGGCTTGATTGCAGAAATTTCAGTCAATTCAGGCAGACAGGTAGCACAGGTATTAATCTAGAAGTATGTCCTGAGTAACTGCTCAGAACCCAGGTTTGTGCTGCAGGCAGTAATGGAGATTGATGCTCCTAAGGGTGTGTTTTGAGTTTCCAGGCTTTTGCTGCACTGAACATATGGTACTCTCCTGCTCAAAATGTCTTAGGATTGTTTTTGAGACAAGGCTAGGACATCAGTAGGAGACTTAGATACAGGGATCTCAGGGCTAGACAAATTTTAGAGTTATTCATCAAAAGACATGTCATGACCACTTACTGTTTTTCTGGTGTTGTTTTCTGGAGATAAGGGAGATACAGCCTGCTCAAATAGAGAATTGCCTGGCCCCATGCCAGATCAAATGAACTTGAACGTCCACTGAAGTTCTCAAGTGAATCTTAGAAGTGGGTATGTTGGAAAGACCTAATTGTATCTCATTTACAAGAAATATCCAGGGGGTCAGGATTTAGCTCAGTGTTGCAGTGCCTGCCTGGCAAGCATGAAGTCCTGAGTAAGATTGCAGGTACACCCCCTCAAAAAAATATCCAAACTAGGCAAACGTATAGAGACAGAAAATAAATTAATGGTTACTTAAATTAGGGGGTGGGCCCTGGCATAATGGCTAAGTGGTATAGGGTGGGGTTTTTGGGTGGGGGTGATTAAAATAATCTAAAATTTGTGGTTGCTAAAAAGATTAGCATTAAAAAGAAGCCATGTTGGGGCTGGGAGTTTAGCTCAGCGGCACAGCGCCTGCCTGGCAAGTGCAAGGTTGTAAGTTCGATTCCCGGTACTGGGAAAAAAAAAAAAAAAAAAAAAAGAAGCCATGTTAAAAATAAATAAATAAAAATAAAATAGTCTAAAATTGTTAGACTGGGGATGTGGCTCAGTGGTACTTGGCTAGCATGCACACAGCCCTGGGTTCAGTCTTCAGCACTGCATAAATAAAAAAATAAATAAATAGATAGATAGATGGATAGTACAACTCTGAGTATACTAGAGGCCATTGAATGGTACACATTATGTGGTTGAATTATATGGACTCTGTATTCTTAATAAAGCTATTAAAAATCTGGCAGGCATGGTAGTGCATTTCTGTAGTCTCACTGCACCGGAGGCTGAGGCAGGAGGATTGTTGCAGGTTTAAGGCCACCCTGGGCTACATAGTGAGTTCAAGGCCAGCCTGAACTACATAGCAAGACTGTCTCAATAAATAAATAAATAAATAAATAGCAGTTGTAATGGGACGTGATTATTACACCAGGGCAAGTGCAGGCGCAACTTCTAAAACAATATTTGATGACTAGGTTAAGGACTGGCATGAATCCTCAACAGAGAGGTGGAAACAGTAGACTGTTGTCGGTGTGGTACCAGGCCCGAGGCCAGCGAGCCCTGCAAGTGGTTCAGGGAGGCTCCACTATAGAGATAAGAGTAAGAAATCAGAAGTGAAGCGAGAGATGAAAAGCTCAAAGGGCTTTGTGAGCCAGGTGAAATGGGTTGGGCTTTTCCTGCAGAGAAAGAGGACCTGTGATGGTAGATTTATCTTTTCGTAATCACTACATCATAGAGAATAGACCGAACAGGCAAGACCAGAGGCAGGAAGCCCGCATAAAGGCAATTTTAGTGTCCAAGTAAGAGGATACTAAACCTGAGTCCTGAACCTGAGTACTGCCAATGGGGATAAACAGAAGTAGATGAAGTTTGGAAATGATTAGTGTGTTTATTTATTTTTTGGTTTTTTTTTTTTTTGAGATGGTCTCACTGTGCAGTTCAAACTGGCCTTGAGCTCACTTTGTAGCCTAGGCTGGTCTTGAGCTTGCAATGATCCTCCTGCCTCAGCCTCCCGAGTGCTGGGATTACAGGCGTGTGCCACCACGCCCAGCTACGATTAGTGTATTTAATTGAGAGAGTTATGATAGCCAGGATGCAGGGGAAGAGAAAAGAGTCAAGGATATTGCCTAGCTGTATGGCTTGGGTCCTGAGATAGTGGGTGATCCCAAGAGCCCTAGAGGAGAAACAAGTTTTGAGATGTTGATTTTGATTTTGAGCATCTTGGACTTGATGTTAAAAAGAAGTGTTCAGCCATCTATGGTGGCACACACCTATAATCCCAGCACTTGGAAGGCTGAGTCAGGAGGATCACTGTGAGTTTGAGGCCAGTCTAGGCTACGTACTGAGTTAAAGGCCAATCTGAACTACATAGTGAGACCCTGTCTCAAAAACAAAAAAACAAAACAACAACAACAACAAAAAAAAAATTCAGAGGAGACAGCTAGAAACATAGGTGTTAACCATAGCAATTTAGGTGCTGTAAATCATCATTTATCATTTTCTGTATAGTTTGAGTGTATGGCAAGTTCACAAACAGACTTGACCTTTGATATCAAACTTAGATTAGTGACTTTCACCTGATCACAACCTCCTGAAACAAGAGACTCCCTCCCTCCTTGCAGACCAATCACAGTCTTATTTTCTCAATGACAGATTATGCTTTCTTAGCAATTTATATGAGGTACTGGAGTCTTCCCAAGCTCATCTTCATGTATCATCCAGGCCCAGAAAAGCCAGGTCCAGCAGCCACAAGTCCTGTCCATGGTGGACGGATGGCCTGAACAGGACATCCCAGGGTTGCCTGTAGGATAGAGGGAACATGACATATGCCTCGGGTTCAGCAAGTGTACCCACACACCAGGCGCAGAAGCACATAAGGAAGCCCCCCCCCCCGCCGCCCTGTGGGCGAGACAAAGAAGCAGTCCTTTTCCCACGTGCCAGCCCATCTGCTTCTTTGCCTTCACAAACATGTCTTTTCGTTCTTTTTTTGGTTCTCTGCAGCTTTGAATACATGAGGAAGAAGAGTGGGAGGCAAGAGGAAAAATAAGGTTAGAAGAAGGCAGGAAGAAAGGAGGGGTGTGAAGGCAGGCTTCACCTACAACCAACACAATAAATCCTATCCTAGACCGACTCAGCCTGGCCCCCCTCTTTTTTTTGCAGTGTGTGCGTAGCAGTTTTCTCTGGGCAGAGTCCTGAAGATGACCGCCAAGGCATGGCTGTGGACTCAAGTGATGGGGCACCTCTCAGTGTGTCACAGGCCTTAGGAGGCCACTTCCACCTGTCCCCTCACTGGAGCAGGCAGAGGCTCCAGCACAGGTGGCACAGGCTTTCCTTGCCCTGGTATCTGTGACTGCCAGGGCATCAGGCTGTCAGTTGTTCTGAGTCTGAAAAAAAGTGTCTCCCCAGCCTGCATGACAGCAAGGTAGGAGGTGGTGGGAAGAGCTTTGGGCAGCTTTGCCTGTGTAAAGACTGGTGGGAGACACCTATGGGGTTGAAGGTATGAGGGGTGGCAGGAGGACAAGTGTCCTCCCTGCCTTCTACCATCTCATCAACTGGGGCCTGGGCAAAGGAGAGAAAATAGCCAGACTTCAAGTCACAGAAGGAGAGGGGTCAAGTAGCTGTCCTGGAATGGATTCATGCTGCTCTGAGGCAGAAAATCTTAAAGGGCAAAGGCCTGAGGGTCTATTCCCTGTTGCTGTGGCCCAATAATTCTTTTTTTTTTTTTTTTTTTTTTTTTTTTTTTTTTTTGTCCTTTTTTTTGAGACAGGGTCTCGCTCTGCAGTTCAGGCTGGCCTTGAGCTCACTTTGTAGCCCAGGCTGGTCTTGAGCTCGCAATGATCCTCCTGCCTCAGCCTCCTGGGTGCTGGGATTACAGGCGTGTGCCACCATGCCCAGCAAGCCCAATAATTCTTTACCTTACTGTGCTGTTTCCTAATTCTAGCTCCTGCCCACCTTGACTTTCACACCCACCCTCCACTAAAGCTGAAACTCTTTATAGAGAACAGAGGGATTCTTTTCCTTCCCACCACTGAAAAGCAGAGATTTTCAGTGACATTCCCAGTTGGCCCCTGGCTGGATGAATTTTTTCTCCATATCATGCCCAGACCCTTCCCTGTCCTGTGGTTGAGTTGAGCTTGTGCTGGCTGTCACTCCATCTGCACTTTCCCAGGACCTGGTCAGCCAGCGTTTGCTTCCTCTTTCCCCACCCATCACACATAGTCCTGCCCTACCAGTGGGCCTCTCGTGGGGTTTCAGGCCTAAGAGGCTCTTGGTGGTTCTGGAACTGCAATCCTCCTGCAAGGGCCCAGAGGGGAAGCTGTGACCAATTTTAGGCATTGGCTTGTTCTCTCTCACTTGATTGCCTTATCTACCCCCATGTCACCCCAGCTGACAACCCAGAAAGCTGAACTGCACTGTCCCAGCCTTCATAGTTAGAGGGAGCACAGAGCTATGCCAGTGTGAGTGCTGTCTGCCTGCCCCCACCCATCTGTCTGCTGTTACCCATGAGCCACCTGCATCCACACACAGGTGTTTCCTGTGCTCCTTCCTGTTGCCCGTTTTTTTCAGTGTGGCTTCCCCAGCAGGTGGTTAAGGCCCCGGCCAAACCTCTTCATACACAGCTCTAAAGCACTGGGGGTAGGGCTCCCCAGGGATCTGGGTCACCTGCCCACCCCCACCCGTGGCTGTTGGCACCTCGTTGGGTCTTCCGGAGTGTGGGCACACATAAATTCCCCATGACGCCTCTGTGCACATGCCGTTACACTGCTGTTGCTACCATTACAGGCGCTGGGACACGTGGAGGGGAGGCACCCATTGCACTGCTTCCCTTGACCCTGGATAATGGAAGTTCTGAAGACTGTTTCTCTAGCTGTGGGCTTGGGCTTTCCTCAGGCTATCCTTAGAACAAGTCCCATTCCACCCACAAGTTCTTCCCTCAGGACTCTCAAACTCCTGGGTTAATGCATTACTGTGCCAAGCAGCTCCGGGGGAGGAGGCCCTCTCCTGGGAGCCCTGTCTCCCGAAACAGCAGTCTGCTGGCTCTGTGGGGCCACAGGGTTCAGCAGGTTTGTTATTACAGAGAAGGTGGTAACTCAGGGAGGGAAGGGACTGGCTCTTTTGGGTCACAGGGCAGTTATCCGGGTCTCTGGCCTCCCACGCCCTAGCGTCTCCTCTAGGTAAAGCTCTCTCCCTTCTCAGCCTCCTGGAGCTCCTTCTGCATCTCTGTAGGAGGCTGCCTGGGCAGAAGGGGATACCCAGGAGGCTGGCATCGGTTGGTGAGGTACTGCTGCCCCCTCGTGGCCAGAAGCTCAGCCACACCATGCCAGGTTTTCCTGCCCACTTCCTCTTTGCCCAGGACTGGCACCCTTTGGCCCTTCTCTGGAACAGATCCACAGTCAGACCCACTAGAGGCCTGTAGTTCCAGGGCCAGCTTCAGGCCAAGTCTCCTTGGCAACCCCTCCCACTCTCTTCCCCTGCTTTCCTTTCCAAGCCCAGTTCCAGCTTGTGCTTTCTTGCACCAGGGTTGCCAAGGCAGATACACAGGCACTTGTCACAGCTAAAGCATGGACACACTAGTGTCAGGAAGAGCACATAAGAGAGGTTTAGAGCAGAGGGTCAGGAGTGCAGCAGGCCATGTAGGAAAGGTATTTTGGTTTTTTAATTTTCTGTAAAACTCTGTAAATAAAATACAAAACCAGGGGATGTGGTCAGGCAGAGGCAGGGTGGCCTGGCCCTGGACACTGCTGTGTCAAGGGCTATGCTGAGCCGAGGCTGGGAGGCACTTGACTGCAGGCACTGACTCTACCAACCCCAGGGACAACAGAATATATTAGATTTTCATTGATAGGAATCTGTGGGGAGGGGTGTCTGGAGCCAGCGCTCACCCCCTGCCAGTGCCTGATGAGCCCTGAAAGTTGGGGGAAGGGCCCTGGGAACCAGCAGTGGAGAGTTTAGAATGCTGTGCTGGCCATGCTGCCAGGCCCAAAGATGCGGGGCAGGGCATCCAGTGACTCCTCCAGTCGTCGATGGGCGGACTGTCCTTCTTCTCCTGAAATGGGTAAAAATGAGATCAGGAGTGGCCATAGTCTCATCCTGGCCCTTCTCCCTCTGATCCCATCTCACTTCTCCCCATCAGCCTGCATCTCCCATACCCCAGCCTCACCACACTGCTGCAGGCTCTGCCGGGCAGCTTCCCTCACAGCTTCTGTGTCTGTTTGGCACAGGTACACCAGGGGCTCAATGCCTTCAGAAGCCTATCATGGGAGAGAACACTGAAGTAGGCTCAATGGGACGGGTGCAAAGTGCCCGGGGTGGGGGTGCTGGGAGTGCAGAGAAATGGCTAGTCAGTTGGCAAGGGTCACCTTGATGCAGCCCAGGGCGAGGCAGCCAGCCACACGAGTATGCACATCCTCATCCTCAAGCTGGTCCAGGAAGCACAGGAGGGCCTGGGCAAGGATGGAAGGACAGATTTAGCCAGACACTGGGAGTCCAGACCCCAGCCCTTGCCTTCAAGGGAGCTGTGCCCACTCTCACCCTCTCCCGGAAGGCAGGGCCCAGTGACAGGCTCCGGAGTTGGGTGCTGACAGCAGCCATGACCTTGTTGTTGCCATGGACAAGCAGGGAGCTCAGGGCCCGAAGTCCATCCCTTCGCAGCCGTCCCTCAGGTGCCAACCTCAAGGCTTTCAGCACAATAGCCTGGTCATCAGAGTTCAGATTCCGTACCAGTAACACTTAAAGAAGGAATAGGGTGTTGGACAAAGGCATCAAGGCAAGGTCTTGTCCGCATGTCCTTATCCACACCCTCACACCCAGCCATAAGATTAAGCCATTTTATGATCAGGGCCACCACCTCACCCTCTTCAGCGGTCTCAGTCACATAGGCCTCCATGGAGGTGCTGTCCAAGGCTTCCACGTAACTCCAGAACTGAAAGATGGTGAGCTGCTCCCCAGGACCTGGCTGGGGCCTCCTGGGCAGCTTCTGCCCTAGGGCATCCTCTAGGAATTTCACACAAACTGCGGGAAGCAATGGCACAGGAGTCGAACCCATGCATTTGGGAGAAAAAGTATGCACCCGATCCCACACTCATGTGCAGGACTCCTTTATCACGACCTCTACCTACCTGGGCCCAAGCCTTCACTCTTTTTCACTATTGCTCACAGCTTATATGTCTGTGAGGGCTGATTTGGCATTCCCTGAGGTCCCAATCCGTAGGGAGCCAAGGGACAGAAGGGGCAGGTAGACAGCTCACTTACCAGCCTCAGCTAAGCCTGGCTGGCGCATGGAGAGACGGGCACCATACTGGCTGCAGAAGGTGAAGAGCACCTGCTCCACAGGGCAGATGAAGGGGCTGAGGCCCTCTGTGCACTGGTCCCAGAAAATCAGGAAGCCAGGCTTAGAAGCTGAGAACTGCACCACTATGAAGGCATACAGGACACCATTAGAAACAGCAGGTGGGTTAGGGGAATTCAGGCACATAAATGAGTGTAGGGTGAGTTAGGAGCTCTGGAGCAGAAACCAGAGCCAGAGCCCAACAAGGAGGCCTTTACCTTCCTGGGCAGAAGTGGCAGGGATCTCCCATACCCTGCTGAGCTCACACACTGCCTCAAGCACTCGGGCTTCCCGCAGTAGCCGCTCCAAGGCCCATGCCTCCTGACAGCGCAGGGGCCCAAATGTGCCCAGTTTCTGGAAGAGAGGTCGTCAAGTAGCACAGACCTAAGGAAGGGCTTGGGGAGGGTGGAGTCCAGGGACTATTAAGTCCTGGCATGCAGTGGGAGAGGCCTGTGGGAGTTAGTTCATTCAGCATGAGCCAGACGCCAGGGTTCTGGTGTACTGGGGGTGTGGAACTCAGAGGAAGTACAGAGAGCCATGACTGGAGTGCACAGCTCCCGAGGGCAATGGGCTGCTAGGGAAAGGGAGGGAAGGGGCAGGGAAGGGGAGGGCAAGGCAGGGAAGGGAAGACCATTAGCCTCACCAGCAGGAGGCGACTGCAGTGGTACAGGTGCTGGACCAAGGCAGCATCCAGAGCTGGACACCCCGTGCTGAGGGGGTGGGCACTGAGTGAGTCTATGCTGTCCTCAGCCCCAGCCTCCAAGCTGCTTGGGGGCCTGGGAAAAAAATGGGGTCAACCACCCCAAAAGCACACATCACCATCTAGTCCACAGCATTTATTAAATTCTGCCTATCCCATAATGGAAGAACAGACAATGCACAGACAACAGACAATGGGTAAGTTCACAAAAGACTTCCAAGAGGGTGAAGGGGATGTGATCACCAGGGAGCAGTGGAGGTGTGTGGTCAGCCTGCCCAGCGCCACCTCCAGCTAGGACCAGGAGTTAGATGGGCAGGAGTAGAGTCGCGAGCAGGATGGTCTACGCAACGTGGACTTCGAGGAGTGCAAGGTGTGGGGCCTTGACCTGGGAAGCAGCAGAGGGAAAAGGGACCGGGGACAACTCTCAAACGGAAGTTGGTAAAGGCCACTCTGGGACTGCCAGCTGAGGGACCGTTGCCTGTGAAGGAGTAGAGGTCGAGACAGAGGGGGTTGATGCTGGGGGATGCAGGGTGCACGGGGAGGCACTGAGAGAACTCCTTCAGAGGGTGGGTCCAAGGTGAGGCCATGTGAAAGAGGGGCAGGTGGCTCATTAGTTGCTGGGGATCGGTAGGGGAGGCAAACATTGCAGAGATGAGTAGGGCAGTCAGAAGCTCTGGGGACAGATGGAGTTAGAGATGTGGGCATCAAGGACACGTGAGGTATACATGGGAGGATGGGGAGTGTATCCTCACATGCTCCACTTGGCCCCACCTCACCTGTTCTTGTCTTGCCTTCCTCCCAACTTATCTGTTCCTCCTCTACCTTCATCCCTTTCCCCTTCATTTCTTCCCCCTTGCTTGGCCCCCCTATCTTGCCTAGTTTTCTCACCTGTCTCCACGACCATCATTGTCTTCATCTTCATCTTCATTGAGGAAGCTGAAGCTCTCCAGGGCATGCTCCACAGTGATGCTGAGACTGGAGGCCCGGCTGCGAGTCAGGCCTTGTCTCTGCTGAGGTTATAAAGGTCAGTGCTACTCCCACTGCCTGGCCCCCTCCTTGTGCTGCCCCAACCCAGCCCAGCCTTCCTTACCATAAGCAGACTTTCCAGCCGAGTCACCTCCTGCTCCAGGCCTTGCAGCTCAGGGAACTGGCCCCGGTAGTCATCGAGGGCAGCCATTAAGGCCCCCAGGGCATCCTCCAGCCTCTTGTCCCCAGCCCCTCCAGCTGCCCCTATGACTGAAGCTTGAGCAGCTGTGGCCAGGCTAGGTTCTGAATGCTGGGGTTCAGGGACTAAGGGGGAGGGCAGGGGGCTTAGACTCTGAATAATAGGCTCTGGGGGATCTGGGGCAGGGCTTGTGAGGAGTTTCCAATCAGAACAAACAGGACTTGGGTACAATGTGGTGGGGGTTGTAGGGTCTGCCTGAGTAAAGGGAGTGGAGTCTGCCTGGCTACAGGGCAAGGGGTCTGTGCCTAGGAGGGTGGGAGCTACAGAGGAGCTGGGGAGTACAGGAAGGTTCTGAGAAGACAAAAGGCTTACAGTTGTAAGGGTGGAGCTTGTAGTGGTTTGGACTGGGGCTATAGCATTGGCGGTGGGACTTGTAGTGGTGTGAGTTGATATCTTGGTCTTATGGGTGAGGCTTGTAGCAGAAGTGGCGCTTGAAGTAGTATGGGTGGGGCTTGTGTTTTTCATAGGGCTTGTAGTAGTGTAGGTTGGGCTTGAGATAGTGTGAGTGTGGCTTGGGGTGGGGTGGGTGGAGCTTGGGGTAGGATGGGTGGGGCTTGGGGTAGAAGGGTGGGTAGAGATGGGGCTTGGGGTAGTAGGGTGGGTGGAGATGGGGGTAGAGTGAGTAGAGCTTGCAATAATGTGGCTGGCACTTGGGGTGGTGCGGGTGGGGCTTACAGTGGTATGAATGGGGCTTGGAATAGTGTGGGTGGCAATAGTGGTGGTCTGGACTGTGCCTGCACTACTGGGGAGAGGGCCTCTAGTGGTGAGGGTGAAAGGCATGGGCTTATGGGTAGAACTTGTAGTGGAAGTGAGGTTTGAAGCACTGTTGACAGGGCTTATGGTACTACAGGTGGAGCTTGTGGTAGCGTAGATGGGGCTTGGTGGCTCAGAAGGGTCAGAATCTATGTCCTTACGAACTGAGTCCAGATGTGCAGATGGGGCAGCATCTGTAGATGTGAGGGCAGGACTGGATGTACTGAGGGTGGGGCTTGTGGCAGAACAGCCCATGTCTAGGGTAAGGGGAACATGACTAGTGTGTTCCCTATGGGTGGGATCTGGGTGCGTAGGTGGGCTACGACCCCGGGCTAGGGTTTGTGAGCTCACAGCCTCCACTGAAGCCTCAGCCAGGGCAGCATCCACACTGGCCTCACTGATGTGGCTCAGAGTCCGGCTATAGGGAGCATGCCCATTGGCCAGGGCTGGGGCTGTGGCTGTGGCCCCGTCCTCATCCATGGGCCCAGAGCTGGGAGCCTCAGTCCTGCGGAAGGCAACTTGGATGGGCAGAGGCTCAGTCTGCTGCACTAGAGGCCTGGGTGTTGATGAATGTCGGGCAGACCCTGACAGCTGTGGGCTGGATGAGTCATCTGAAGATTCGGATGACAGGGACCATGCTGTCCCATTCTCCAGCTCCTCCTGTCGCCTTAACATGTTCTGAGAGAGAGAAGGGCATTTCAGGACCATCCTTAAAAATCCTCTGGGAGATTATGAGACCTAGGTCTGGGTTGTGACTCACATAGAAGGCCTGCTCCCGAAGTGAGGGTGTGTCTGGTGGGCTCTGGCTATAGGTAGAGAAGCGTTTAGTGACGGTGGAGGCTTTGTTGACAGTAGAAGTGGCTGAAGGTTGATCATCCTTGTCAAAGGGGCTGGGGAGGGAAGAGAAGTCCTGTTAGCAGTGCCACAACTCTAGTGCCCCTACCCTTAAACCCTTCAGCCATACCAACCTCCATGTAACTTCCAGGCTGAGCTTGATGGTGCCAAGGTCATTGATATCTACAGCCACAACCTGAGGCAGGGCAGTGAACAAGTCCTTGGTCTCACAGGAGACGCTGCCCACAACTACGTGGTTGGCCAGACCCTTCAGTTCTGTCACCTGAAGCCAAAAATACATGGTGGGGTCACATGAGTACAAGGACCATGAGCTCCTGGGTGATCACAGGTCTGGATTTGCATAGAAATTGTAAGACGGAAAGCTGGGTGTGGTGGCGCATGCCTGTAATCTCAGCACTTGGGAGGATTATTGCGAGTTCAAGACCTGCCTGGGCTACAAACTGAGCTCAAGGCCAGCCTGAAGTGCATAACAAGACCCTGCCTCAAAAAGATTAAAAAAAAAAAAAAAAAAGAAATTGTAAGATGGTCATAGGGTAAAATGGCTATTCTATTGGAAGGTCATGAGGATGGGCACTCTGAGAGTGGTGGAGTCACAGAAGCTTGAAGCAGTCTGACAGCAAGGGGTTTATGGAGCTCTATATTGGTAGGGTTACTTATCTCAAGGGTCCACAGCCTTATAGGGGCTCAGAGGATCAAATATTTACCACATCAGAAGATCATGGAGAGGTTATAGGGTCAGCAGACCATGAGGTATAGGAGTCATAAAGATTTTTCCAAAGGCCACAGAGATCATGAGGAAACCCAGGGTCATAAAGGTCATGGAGCCACACATTTATAGGGCCACTGAGGCATAGAGGAGGTCGCAAGATTAAGGGTCTCAGAGTGAAAAGAGTCATGATGGTTCACAAGACCAAGCTGTCCTGCAGACCTGGGCAGAAGAATCACCTTGATGGACAGGAATTCCATGAGCAGAGGAAGAAAGACAGTTTCTTCGCTGTCCCACACCTGCTTTCCACTACCCTCAATGCGGCCCCGTAGTTTCCAGCGCTGACGGCCATATTTCATGCAGATCTAGGGAAACAGACAGGATGAGGCAAACCTAAGGCTTTTGACTGTTCCATCCTAGCCCTCCCCTGCACAGCCTCCTACCTCGTACTGATCACCCACGCACAGCCTGGCGAAGCCAGCCAGCCCTGGAGTAGGGGGAGAAATAGATGAGCCATGCTGGCAGGGCCTGAACACACTCCCTCCTGCCTCCCACCTGCCCCCACAACTCAGTACCTTTCATTCGGAGATGAAACTCGCCCAGCTGTGCCTCCAGCTCGCTCTCCAGCAGACACATGCTCTGGTGGGGAGAAGCAGAGATATAAGAGAATGCAGAAAAGTCTGCTGTCGTCAGCCCTGCCATACCCTGTGCACCTGCCAGTAGCATTCCTCCCTCACCTCTGTGTATTCTCGATGACTCCGAGTGGCCTCAGCCAGGCTGTCCCGGGCCTCCCGGCTCCCTTGAGACCCAGTACTATAGGCACGGACCATGTTGTAGGCTCCATCCCGAAGACGCCGCTGGACACAGTATGCTTCATACAGCTCATCGATCTGAGAAGGTGAGTGGGGTAATAATAGGGGAACTAGGACACACTACTGGAGTTCCTCATTCAGGGCCTAGCAAGCACTTCCCACCCCATCTCCCTATGCTACCCCACCCCCATCCCTCTGCATGTATGCTGCACAAAGTACCTTGCTGGCATGGAATTCCAGTCGTCGTAGGAAGCGTTCAATGGACTTGACTTGCTGGGGGAGAGGTAGGTCAGGAAGGGTCTGAGGCCCAAGGCCCTTTCCCCTCCCCACGAGCCAACCCCTTCCAATACCATTGTACATACGCTCACCTTGTCCAAGTCATACAGGAAGCCCTACAAAGGAGATGAGGGAGATGAGATGTGCTGCCTAGGAGGTATGAGAAGGACCCTGTTCACCCAGACCCATCCTTCCACATCCAGCAAAACTGTTCCCTCCTTTGGCAAGTCCTGATCTCTTCCTTAAGGAAAACCCTCACTTTGTCTTTAGTATCATTACAACATACTCTCTTGCTGTCATACTGTGTGAGTCTGACCTTTCCCATTGGAAGATCTTGTGAGCAGAAACTGGACTCCAAGCACAAAGTGCACAGCAAAGAAGTTGGGGATAGAAACCCTCTCGGCCTTTCCTGATATCTTTTTTGTACTTATATCTGGACTCAGTCATCCCAGAAAATAGCCCAGATTTCACATACAGATGGCCCTGCCCAGCCCCCACACCACACAGACAAAGGGCATTAGACCAAGGCATCCTAACATCACTCACCAGCCTCGAATTCCTCTTGGACTCCTTTATCTGACCCTGGAGCTTCTCTTGCTCCTGTTGGTGCACTTCCAAGTAGGCCCTGGGAAAAAGAGGTGATAAATCAACTCACCCTTCATTTTGTTTCATGTTTGTTTGTTTTGTGTTGTTGACACAAGGTCTTGCTACAGCAGTTCAGGTTGGCTTTGAACTCACTATGTGGCCCAGGTGGGCCTTGAACTCATAGAGATCCTCCTGCCTCAGCCTCCAGGATTACAGGCGTGGCTCCTGGGCTCAATTTACTTTTCAGACACAAACTGCCCAAGGGTACTAACAGTAAGCAGGGGTTGCCTGGCTGGGGCAGGTCCCGACTAACAGAGACGGGGTCTGAGGAGGGATCCTGAGGGATCCTAGAACAAGGGGTGAGCAGAGAGTTGCTTACTTACGTCAGGCCCCGCTTAAGTGCAGCGTACACCAGGTCCAGCCTCTCTGGCTGTGGCACCTTCGCGGCTGGGTGGGCCACAGCAAACATCCTAGATACCCGGGACAGCGCTGGGGCCTTCCGTGGGGGCCCTGGCGGTGGCGGGCTGAAGACCGGGAAGCTCCTGAAGAAGAAGGTGCTCCTCAGAAAGGAACGAACAGGAGGTCCCCTACAATCGCCCTACACACCCAGTCCAGACCTCATCCATGGACACCATTAACCACCACCTCCTCACGGTCCACTGCATACCTGGGCCCTCGCTTGTGGCTGCCAAGGACGCCTGCGAAGGACTGGCTTCTACTGACCCGGGCACTGAGCAGGCGGCGCTGCGGCCTCACCGACAGGGACATCATGGAATGAGTCCGCGCGGGGCTCCCTGGAGGTGGGGGAGAAGGTATCTAGCACCGGTTGGGTCCCTGAAGTCCCCTCCCCAAACCCAGGTTCCAGGCCTGGAGCTGGTCCGTCCCGGTCACCAGGTACAGATGCCCCCGTGGACTCGGGTCTGGATACTCTGAGGCCTGCCGGCCCCGCAGCTAATGACAGGGCAACCGCGGGTGACTCGGCCTCGGACTCAGCGTGGCCTCGGCACGGCCCCTACTTCCTGCCGTGGTGCGGGGCTCCGCCTGCTGCGGGCCAGGAAGGGGGAGTAGCGCGGGGACCCTTCCCTGGCTGAGAAGGGGCAGGAAAGGGGCGGGGCGCGCAAAGAATGTGCGGAAGCGCCTGTTTACCCGGGGGCGGGGCGGCCTTCCCAGCCCTGCCCTAGCCGGCCCCCCCCAAGACTAGCAGCCAGGGTCCCCCACCCCGGGAGGCCGCGAGAGGTCACGGAGTGGGGCGGGGCGCGCACTGGGCCCCGCAATGCTGCAGGACCGGCCCGGCCTGCGCTGGCTGGGTTCCCGCGACCCCCACCTCCGCTTCCAGTTTAAACTGCTCGTTCGATTCCCACCGGCTCCCAGGCGCCACGACGCCAGAGCCCTCCAGACTGGGCTGCGGGGATTCCCAGGGCGGGGGGCAGTGACGAGAAGTGCTCCGCCCCCTCCACCTTCCCGGGGCTCCGACTGGGAAACTGAGTCACGGACGCGAGCCTTCACCTCTAGCCCTAGGCGGGATGGGATTCTCGGCAGACCACCTCGCCCGCCTCGGCAAAACACGCATCCCTGGCCCCCAGAAGCCGGCCCGCACCCCTATGGCCCGCCCCGGAGCCTTCGCAGCCCCTAGCCGGGTCTTACCTTTCTTTTTCGCGTCCATGGTAGGTTTCGGACGGCCCCGACCTGCGCTGGCCCCAAGCCCCAAGCCCCAAGCCCTACACCCCGGTCCCCACCGGCCCAGGGCCACTTGGTGCCGGCCCACTGGGCTCCGCGCTCGTGCCCAGCAGCTCTGGCTCGGGCTTCGGCTCCGCTCGGCGCCTCCCCCCGCCCAGTTCCTGCCTCCTGACTCAGCCTGCAGGGATGGGCGGGACAGACCAGACTAGGGGGGCACCAGGCCTTGGCCCATCTGGCTTTCCAGGAGGGGTGACTAGCTGTTCCCCTCTGGGAGAAGTCCGGTGGGGGCTGGGGTCAAGATGAATACCGAGATGGACAGAAAGTGTGTAGGAGGGCACTGAGAGTAGCAAACTCTTAAGAGCGGCTGTTGAGGGGTGCTGAGAGAAGTCTGAACATACAGAGGGCTAACAGTTGGGGTTGTAAGTTTACAAAGTTTGGAGAGTATGGGCCTGGGGATTCTGAGTGTTGGAATTGTACCAAAGGAGAGCAGAGAGTAGAGTGCCGAGATGAAGGGTCTGGGAAACTAAGAATAAGAGAGGCTGCAAATGTGGGACTAGGTCAACTTCGTGTTGTGAGTCTCTGCCCCAAGGAGGATGCAAAGATGGAAGTGGTGCAGAGAATCCCACAGCTCTCTGCACCACCCCGCCCTTACACCCACAAGAGAGGTGCTCAGTCTGGACACTGCCTCTCCTCCCAGTCCCAGGGGAAATAATCAGGTCCCACTGCCTAGCCAGGGCCTCTTCTCTACTGGAAGCTGCATCCTAGGGCTGAGACCCCCATCCTTCTGGCCCCAAGCTCACATGGGCTTCTCAGGCCCGGAATTTCCTTGGTGCTGACTCTTCTGCCTCCTGTATCTTTTCCTTGACGATCCTTTCTCCACCTCCGGCATGGACAGAGGCCACCATGTTCAGGGTCCACTGGGACACCCTATCCCCTGACCTTGGAAGGCCTGGATGCTCCTCCATCCCATAAACAAGTTTGCTCCTTGAGGATCAATTGTGCCATACTGTGCATTCTTTCTCCCCAAACCCAGGTGGGGCCAAGGGTCTGCATTTGCAGTAAGACCACCAACTCCTCTGCAGATTCAGCTGCAAGAGGTCAAAGGACCCCAGTTTTAGAAATGCTAGCCTCCTACCTCCTTGAAGACTGGGTACCATGTACCCATTGGTGATCTATATATTCCCATGGATTGCCCCCCAACAATAGCCTCTCTGCTCCCCTTAGCCATCCCCAGAGGGGACACCACAGTCTTCCCACCTGCCCTGGAATGCCCCTTTGCTAAGTTGAGACAATTTCCAGGCTCTCTCCAGCAGCCCCCTCCCTTCACTTGCTTTTTACCGGAGACTAGTTAAAAGCTCATTTATTCAGCTATTCACTGATGACAACCTTAGGCCAATCATGTGTCAGTCACTGGAAATACAGCCCAGAACTTCAGACACCACCCAGCAGTCCAACTCTGGTTTATTCCTCTCTGCCAGCTTTGTCCTACCTTCTCTTCCCTACCTTCTTTGCATATCCTCCCCCTAGCCAGCATTTATAGCACTTTTCCATCATCACTTGTCTGCTACTAGTATCTTCAGTGCTCACGCCTCCACTACCTGACAGAAAACAATCCTGAAACCCAACTCCCTCTCTTCACTGCACCTGCACACAGCCTGGTAGCCAAAGGTCCTGGCACAGCAGCCTGGCTGGAACCACAGAACGATTCTCAACCTCAGCCAGTCTCTCAGTTCCCACCTGACAAATCCTTCTGTAGGACCCCAGCCTCTCTCTCTTCCCACAGAAGATGGGTGTTTCAGATTTGGTACACAAATCATCAACAAGCTCAAGTTACTGTCCCATGAAAAAAATGAAAACAACCCTGGAAGGTATCCAAATGCCCATCAATAAGTAACAGAATTATTATACGCAAAAAAGAATGAAAAATATACAACAACATGCAACAATAAGGGTGTATGTCATAGACATAACATTGAATGAAAGAAGCAAGGTCCAAAAGACAGCATAGGTATGAGTTCCTTGATAATGAAGTTCAAAAGTAATCTATGTAATCTATGGCAACAAAAGTCAGACTAGTAGTTCCCTTTGGACTGTTGTGACTGGAAGCGGGCACAAAGGATCTTCCAAAGTGCTGACAATGTTCTATTTCCTACCCCCGGTTCTGTTTCCTGATCTTGCATGGGTGTGTTCTGTTGCAAAAATGTGATCAGGCTGTACACTCAGTAGATACATACTTTATGTATGTGTATGTATTATATACATATTTTTTTTTGAGATGGAGTCTCACTGTGTTATCCAGGCTGGTCTTGAACTCCTGGACTCAAGGAAACCTTTTGCCTCAGCCTCCTGAGTAGCTAGCGTGGGATACACATGCATCACTGTGACTGGCTATTTTCTGTATATATTTCAATATAAAGTTGGGTTTAAATAAATAACTACTAATGGGGGTAGAGTTCAGTGGTAAAATGTGTGCTTAGCATGCTCCAAGCCTTTGGGTTTGATCCCCAGCATCACATACATGGTAAATAAATAAGTATCAAAAAAAAAAAAAAAAATGACCCACTGTGGGCCCTGTGCTTTGCCTTAGCTACCACATTCCTCACCCATCTCTCTTCCTTTTTCTTTTCTTTCTCTCCTTCCCTCTCTCCCTCTCTCTCTCTCTTTTTGAGTCAGGGTCTTGCTATGCAGTTCAAGCTGGTCCTTGAACTCACTTTGTAGCCCAGGCTGGTCTGGAACTCTTAACGATCTTCCTGCCTCAGCCTCCCAAGTGCTGGTATTACAGACATGCATCACCACGCCCAGCTTTCCTTTTTTCGTTTCTATAGCGTTGTATTATGCAGTTCAGGCTGGCCTTAACCTCACAGTGACCCTCTTGCCTTTGCCTCCTGAGCGCTGGGATTACAGGCATTGTACCATCACCCGTTACTCTCCACTCCCTTCTGAACGAAATTTCTGGAAGAGTGGTCCACCGTCATTTCCTCACCACACCCACCTACTCCTTTTCCCATTCTGGTAGGCCTTCTACACTTACTACTCCCCTGTGGTCTAGGCAAGGTCACTAGTGACCTCTCTGTTGCTGAATCAACCCCAAGTCTAATGTTTAGTCTTTATCGTGCTTGATCTCAATTTTTTTTTTTTCTTAGATAGGGTCTCACTATTTAGTTCAGACTGGCCTTGAGTTCACTATGTAGGCCAGCCTGGCCTCAAACTCATGGTGATCCTCCCGCTTCAGCCTCCCAGTGTGTGCCACCACACCTAGCGCTCAGTAAAGCTTTTGACTTGGTGGCTCCATTCCTCTTCCCAAAGCCCTTCCTTCCCTTGAAGGAATACTCAGCATGCTCTTGGTTTTCCACCCATCTCTCCAGCCACATATTTTTTTTCCTGCAGGGGCTCCATCTCTTTCCCTATTCCCAGATGGGCCTCAGCCTCCCTGCTGTTCATCTGTATCCATCTCCCTTAGCTCAATGCCATCTAAATGTTCCCATCTTCCTTACCTGTCCCTCACCCAAACTACTCTGTGAACACAAAGCCTACATATCCAACTGCTTGCTAGATGCCTCCCTACAAGCTGACAGTGCACAGCAGGCTATAAGAGGATGACTGAGTTTGAAATCCCCAAGCTGAATTTACCACTTTTCTCCTCAGACCTCTTCCTAACCTTTCCCCCTTCAGCACAGGATTTGAATCCAGGGCCTTTACACTGAGTTACATTCCCAGCACCCCCCTTTTTAATTTTTAATACAGGGTGCCACTAAGTCTTTAAATTGCCCAGCGTGGGCTCCAACTTTTGATCCTCCTGCCTCAGCCTTCCAAAGTGCTCGGATTACAGACATGCGCCATAACACCCAGCTCTCTCCCTAGTCTAAAACGGGCAGCCCCACCACCTACATGCCTAGTGTTCAAGACAGAGACTGGGAATCATCTTGGGCACCTTGGTCAGTTTCCCCTTATGTCCATTCCTCCCAGTTCAGCTTTTAAATGTACCTGGAATTAGCCCCCTCACCTCCATCCCTATAGTTAGAATTTGGGTCCAAGCCATGATCAGTTCTCCTCTAGAACCTTACAACAGCATCCTAATATAATGGCTCCCTATATCCCCTCCAACCTGCAGTGATCCAGTCTGTACTCAGTAACAGCACTTTCATCTGGAAATTCCAGTTACCTGACAATGCCAAAATGCTGTGCTTAAAAAAAAAAAAAAAGTTTTTTTGAGTGCCTTCTGTGCCACACACCGTACTTGATACCACTTCTTTCTTTCTTTCTTTCTTTCTTTCTTTCTTTCTTTCTTTCTTTCTTTCTTTTTTTGTCTTTTTGAGACAGGGTCTCACTATGCAGCTCAGGCTGGCCTTGAGCTCACGCTGGTCTTGAATTCATAATGATTCTCCTGCCTCAGCCTTCCTGAGTACTGGGATTACAGGTGTGCGCCACCACACCTGGCTTGCAGTTCATTTTTTAAAAAATGTGGTAAACATGGTATGTTCAACATCATTTCATTAAATTCCAGCAACAATCCTGTAAATTTAAATCCAGTTAGCCCTACTTCACAACCAGGCAATTGGAGGCTAACTGGCTGTATGACATTGGACAAAATAACTTCTTAAACTTTTGGGCTTCAGATACCCCAGATACCCATCAAATAAGGATAAACCGGTTGTAGTGGTGCACACCTGTAATCGCACCACCCAGGAGGCTGAGAGTTCAAGGCCAGCCTGGACTATATAGAGAGCTCAAAGCAAGCCTGAACGACATAATGAGACCCTGTCTCAAAAAAACAAATAAAATAAAAAACACATAGTGAGATACCTAACTCTATGAAGGGTGCTTGAGGAAGGAAGAATTGTATGTGGGATAGAGAAGTTGGGGTATATACTACCTCACTGTGAGCACAACAAATATTAATTGTTGTTATTATTATTACTATTAATCAGCCTTAGATTTCACAGCTGGTAAGTGGAAGAGCCAGGATTCAAAGTCAGGCTCTCTCACCCCAGGACTGTAAATCTTTCTTTTTGAGACAGGTCTCGTTATGTAGTTCAGGCTGGACTTGAACTTTCTACATAGCCCAGACTGGCCTTTAACTTTTGGAGGTCTTCCTGCCCTCAGCCTCCTGAGTGCTAGGATTATAGGAATGTACCACCATACCCAGCAGGACTG